AAATATATTAGATCAATTGAGAGCTACTCCCTTAGAGATCATCTTAAGAGGAGATGTATTAATTTCAAGTTATGCAGTAACTAAATCAGAAATATTCTGATGATAAATACCAAAAAAAGAAAAAAAAGAAAGACAATGTGATATGTGGTCTCTCTTTGGACCTGCATATATAGGCAATTTCATGCTTACTTTCTAAGATGAAAATTCAGTCATTACAATAACAAAGAACCAAAGACCTAAAACTAACTGCAATCAAAAGATATTTCCACAAACTTTTGAGAGCTGCATTGTGTCTTTGGTACATTATTTTAAGGTAAGCTGATTCCATCCTCTTATCCTTCTCTTTTTTGAAAATTTCTTTATTCTGTTAATTTGCTGTAGTTATATGAAAATGATTAGGGCATGAGTAGTGAAATTCATGTACATTGTTCTAGAAAAATTAAGAATAGAAATTAAAAGTTTGAAACTATGAGTAAATACAAAGACAAGAGTAAAAGTAACTCAAAAAAGAAATCATAAAAGAAAATGCCAAGATTAAGAGATAATAAAGTTATCAATGGGTGTTTTTAGAATTGTATTAGTATTTTTCAGTATTAAAAATTATTATGATTGTTACCAAACTTAAAATAACCAAAGGTTCGCAGAAAAATAACCAAAGGTTCGCAGAAAAATAACTTGCTAACAGGTTTTGGTCGCTTAAAGCAGCAAGTCAAGGGTTCTGTTCGCTTAAAGCAGCAAGTCAAGAGTCATGAGCGACTGTATGCAAAGACCAATGTAGTATGTATGACCTCTTTTTGGCCCGTCCCATACGTAATGTCATGGTTACTTATTTCCAACAAGAAAATTTAGTCATTACCGTTGAAACAAATGGTTTGAGATTTTGGTTAACCCACTACAAGATTAAGGATTCAATGAAATAATAAAATTGCACCAATATAAGAAACAAAGAATTTATATGATTCAACTTCAATTAATTGAGTCTATATTCACAGGTACTAAAAAAAAAGAACGTTATTAAATAAAAAGATATAATTTGTGGTATGCTCGTAAATATCCAATTCATAAATATACCTAAATCTTACTTACAATGTTTTCAAATGCAAGACATGCTCAACATCACTCGGTAAAGAATTTTAACCACTCTGCTCTTACTCACACTCACCCAAAGCACTCTCAGCTCTCTTGTATTTTTCTTGATCTCACTCTGCTTTGGATTTCTCTTTATAATTTGTAGAAGAATAATGACGGAGAGGACAAAAATTTGAGGCTAGTAATCTTATGTATCCCACGTCATTTAATTAGTTGATGTATATAATATAATAAGTTTAAAAAATAAAAAAAAATTATTAAATAATATATAATTTATTTTTTAATATTTTAAATAATGTAATTTATATTACATTATTGATTTTAAATTTTGATCCCTAATTTTTGTCATATTGACCATTCTTCTTTGCCAAACCACAATTAATGCAATGGGCTGCAAAGTCATAATCCAACGGTGCACAATAAATATTTCATGATGCAGCAAGCCAAAAAAAGTCCCCTTTTTTTTTCAACAGTTCCGGCTGAGCTTACTTGCAACAACAATTACAATAACAAAGAATTCAATTAAAGACCTTACTTTCATAGCTGCATCCTCTTGATATAGAAAAGGGCAAAAAGGGAAAAAAAAGTCAGAATCATCAGAACCTAACGCGAGGAGCAGTACCTTAAATGCCTTTGCTCCTGAACCTAGCAAAACACTTCAACCTGAAAAATCAAACTTAATATGGCACTTTACATTCACATTTCCATGGAGTTATTAACATGGGCTTCCTTATTTTTCTGCTCTATAATTGGTATTGGTACTGGCAGCACACTTGTGGTAAGGGAGGCAGAAGCTCTGCGGAAGAGTGGGTGGTGGAATGCCTCTGTCAACAACGTTGCAGAACATTGTAGCTGGCCT